TAGATAGATAGATAGATAGATAGATAGATAGATAGATAGATAGATAGATAGATAGATAGATAGATAGATAGATAGATGTGAATCAGGGTCTCAGATGGCTGCTGAAAAGTGCTTTAAGAGGAGCTCAGCTGTTTGGCATTAAAGTCTCAAAGCTTTCAGAAAACAACCTTTTCCAGTGGGTAAAATAAAGCCACAGTGCTTGTGTGTGGGTGTTTGAGGAGTGTCTTTATAGTCACACAAATCCTAAACCTGAAACCCGGTAATGAAAACATTGTACACAAATAAACATGAAAAAATAAGTGTATGGCCACCTGAATGAGGGGCAGATGATGCATCAGAGGAAATTACTTCATAAGTATAATCAAATGGAACTCCCACACAGTCGTGCTTACTGCTGAAATATTTATTAAATTATAATGTTTCAGTCTGCCCGTCCTAGATTGTAGGTAGATTGATACCATATTAGCATTCTCTTTTATACACACACACAGGTACACACACGCAGGAGCTAATCAGTTATCACATTATCCAATCAGAAAAGCAGATGACTCAGTGATTCAATAAATACTTTAGCAGTAAAGGAGACGGCGTATAAAATTAAACATCAACAGTAGGAAAAAAGTGTGATGTTGTGGTGGGAAGGTGGAAGATATTGAAGGACTTCCTGCTTTTAACACAAGCTTCAGTGGACACTTTAAAGACCGAACAAGACAAAGACACAGCAGTTGCTCTTTTAGAGATGCTTGTCTCATTTCATGCACCGGAGAACACGTAAAGAAAAAAGAAATATAGAAAGAAGAGGAACAGCTGTGCTGCTTCCTGAGCATTAAATGCAATATAATAAGTGTCATTGGATAGTCCAAAGGAACAGACAAACCTAATGTAAACACATCACTAAATAAGAATTTGGTTAACATTAGGAAAGTATCAGCACTGACTAGTTTTGACCTTCAACTGGTGATCACGTAAAGTAAAGGGGGGGTGGTGGGGTGCAGTGGTATCTTTGTGTAGGCCATTTCATCCACATACAGTACTTGGACAGCACAGACAGGAGAAAGGAGAAGACGTTAACTTTGCAGAGCCTGGAGAACACACAGACACAAGGAGACAGAATGAGAGAGAGTGGAGGCAGCAGTGGTAGTTTTACAGATATCCCTATCATTACATGGACAGGCTAAGTAAACACAGAGAGGAATACAGCACTGTGACCCGAGCTGTACCCACACTGTGCTGCTTTTGGATCATTGCTTGTTTCATGTTGCACAGACAGCGTTGTGCGGATGTCGCTGTCACTGTTGGGGAAACGTGTGGTTTTGTTTTATTTTTTATGTACAGCTTGTCCTCCTACATATTCAAGACATGAAGAAATATGGTTTAATCTTTTTTAGAAATCAGAAAATAGCTTCACTAAAAGAATGCAGGTTTTGAATTCAAAGGTAGGCTAGCGCAGTCTTTATTTAAACATGTAGAGCGCGTACGTGTGCACAATCTCACTTTTCTATTTGTGCACTCGCTAGGACCATTTTCCCTAATTTTCCCAGTAACTCTGCAGTGACCTCCATTGCACAGCAGATCAATAATGTTCCATCTTTTCATCACCTTGACTAACTATCAATAGATTACCAGACCAGAAAATCTGCATGTGCAAAAGAGGCAAATGGGGACACATGAGGTCCAGCTGGCAGTCTGACTATAGCAAAATATACTTATTGCAACAAGCCCAGTGAAATGCCCTGTGCTGTGTTACATAACGCTCCAAGAGTATTTGTCTTTTGCCTCGCAGTGGCAGTATGAGAGCAGTTTCTATCTGTGTTTCAGTTCAGATCATTCCACTGCAGTTTCAGCTTGTAGAGTTCACCATATCAGCATTTCACAATCACACATTTGCCTCAGCTGTAAAACCAGACGAGACAGAAACCATTTTAGCTTGAGCCAAATGTGACTGCCATGAAAACAAAGTCTTTCCTCACCATAACTAAATTAAAGGCCAAAATTAGTCTCTCGGTGTGACATATTTGAGACAAGAACACCAAGCTAGAATCAGCTAGAATAGAATAGTTAGTAAATTCCTTACATATTGTGGGTGGGACACCAAAAAGGAAAGACTGAATTGTGTTTATTGTGTGCTACATTGATTTTCTCTTCCACGGATGTTACATTGCAGGTTTCAACATAAATACTTTATAAGTTAAATTTGAGCTAGAACAGTTAACTTGACCGAAAGTAGTCAAAAGTAATTTGATAAGGGATAAATTTGTTTAGTTTGGTAACAACAATACTTTATACCCTCTACTTCTCAGGTGTAGTGATTTTGTTTTGTAGCTGGACTATCAGCATCTATAAAACAGTTCATTAAATGTCTACATTTAACTCACTAAAAAACATCGCAAGAAGTCATAGACTTTATTAAAACTGTCTAAATTCCTTAAAATCATCAACCTTTTTACTGTTATTTAATACTTATACATCTAAAATATAGTGTTTTTAAGGTTATAGACAAACCCCTTTCAATTTGCAGCAAGCTGGGAGAGCCAATGTATTTTGTGTTAAATCTACATCATAGGTACATTGTAATTTATGCCTAAATTATGCTTCTGCTGTGAATCTGAGTTTGCGGTGTATCCCGCTTAAGTAACCATTGCCATTGCCAGGTGTGCATTTACAACACATAAGTATAAATCCACTGTAAAAAGCCTGCACTTTACACATCAACTTGCACTCCTGTCTGTTTCACTTCCTGTCAGCCGTCAGTTTTCCTTCCTTTGCACTCACATTAGTTAAATTCATCTATGAACATTTATCCAGTCAGCCTCCCCAGTTTATACTCCCTGATGTTTCAGTCTGTCAGTTGACAGATCATCTGTTTTCCACCAGCTTCTAGTGTCTCCGTTGTTCACAGTACAGTAGATGTCATCATGTGTTCATGCTTCCTGCATGTATGACCCCTGCCCAAATTAAAGATTTTGATTATTTCCCCTCATATTATTGTGGTGTATATGCTTTGCATTTGTGTCCATACGTCTTGCCTTTTCTTGCTCTCTGTAGCACAATCTGTGACTGTAAACA